AAAAAAAAAAAAAAAAAAAAAAAAAAATCATTTTATGGATTTGTGGGGGGATTTTTTTTAATTAATTTTTTTTTTTTTTTTCCAGAAGTCCTCAATCTCAAACCGAAGGTTATATGCAACATGAAATTTCACGTTTGACCGCTGAAAATTTAGATTTGCAAGAAAAATTTGATTTGATGCAAGAAAATACAAGAAAGTTGAAAAAACAAAATAAAGCCCTGTTGAAAAAACTAAAAGAACTTGGTGGGGAGTTTAAAAAAAAAAAAAAAAAAAAAAAAACTCGGCTTTGCATATTATTTTAATTTGATAATTGTCAATTTTATTTTTTTTTTAGTTGGATTAGATCAAGTGGAATCACAAGATCAAAATGCGATTTCCAAACCTGATAATAAAAAATATAAAGTGACAGATGAAGGTAACAACACTCTTCCCAATGTTATGATGAAAAAAGAAAGAAATTACCAGGGAATGTTCGAATACAGGAGCGAAGACGAAGCTTTAATTGTTAAACGTTTGATTTACGGTAAATTTTTATTTTTTTTTAATGTTTTGCAATTGGAAAAAAATAAATTTTTTCCTAAAATTTTTTTTTTTTTTTTTTTTTTTTAAACAGACTTGAAACCTCGCGTTGCCATGTATTTACTACCGGGTTTACCAGCTTATATTTTCTTCATGTGTATAAGACATACGGATTTTGTTAACGACGATGGTAAAGTTCGATCGTTACTAACTGCCTTTATAAACGCTGTTAAGAAATTAATTAAAAAGAAACATGATGATTTAGAAACGACGGTAACTTTTTTTTTTTTTTTTTTTTTATCCGTAAAATTGTTTTTTTGTTTTTGAAAATTGATTTTCGTTTAATTTTATACTTTTCCAGGTTTTGTGGTTGAGCAACACATTACGGTTGCTTCACAATTTAAAACAATATAGTGGAGATAAAATATTTCAACAGGATAACACTCCCAAACAAAATGAACAATGCCTTCGTAATTTCGATCTCAAAGAATATCGTCAGGTTCTTTCCGATATGGCCGTTTGGATTTATCAGGTATAAAGAAAATCGTTTTTTTTTTTTTTTTTTTTTAATTATTGTTATTAAAGGTAAAAAAAAAAAAAATTATTTATTTTGCGGTTGCGTACAAAGGGTGCCGTAAGAGACCTTCAGGAAAAAATAAATAGCCTCATAGTTCCTGCAATATTAGAACACGAAGCCATATCTGGATTTTCGAAAGGTTTAGCCGGTCGACAAAGAGCTTCCAGCGTGTCGAATGCCACAGAAAACACTTCTAATCCACAAGTTAAATTAGATGCTCTCATTGGGGAATTGACAGGTTTCCACAGGATATTTGCCATATTCGGAGTTGATCCTGAAGTCATTTCTCAGATTTTCAGACAGGTACAATGATTTTTTTTTTTTGGCCGGGTTTAAAATTTAAAAATAATCGGATTGTAAAAATTGAATTGATTTTTTTTATTTCAGACGTTTTATTTTATTTGCGCATGTTCCTTGAATAATTTACTATGCAGAAAAGATTTGTGCAATTGGACGAAAGGAATGCAAATAAGATATAATTTGAGCAATTTAGAAGAATGGGCCAAACAACATTTGCTCAAAGATTCCTCAATAACGGAAACTCTTCAACCCATAATACAAGCGAGTCATTTGCTACAGGCAAGAAAAGAAGAGGAAGATATAAAATCCCTCTGTGATATGTGTGACAAATTACCCGAACCAAGGGTACGTGGAATTCCTTAAATGAATTTATTATCTTGATTATTTTTTTATAATCTTTCTTTTTTTTTTTTTTTTTAAAGATCGTAAAGCTTCTTCATTTGTACACTCCAGCAGACGACTACGAGAAAAAGGTTCCAGTTTCTTATTTGAGAAAAATTCAAGCAGAGCTTAAAAGTAGATCAACTGGCGATCAACCCGATTCACCTTTACTAATGGATACGAAATTTGTATTTCCCGTAAGATTTCCCTTCAATCCATCCAACATTCGTTTGGAAGACATTGAAATACCAGGAGATTTAGATTTACCTATGCTAAAAAAGGTTTAATAATTTAAATTTTATTTAATATTTTTTAGTTTCATATTCATCTTTTATCTTACCAAAATAGTTGATTCATTTAAAAAAGATTTCAGTAGTTTAATTAATTTTATTTTCCTGCTATTTAGTTGGTTTCATGTCAATTCATTTGTGAATATTTTTTTATGCATAAAATTATGTATAAAAAATATCTCATTAATTCTTATTAGATATTTATATAAATTATACTAACAAACCTAATCGGCTGTATTTTAAAATAAAAACTCTTTCATGTTGACCTATATAAGCTACAGTGTGGTACTTAAAAAAAAAAAAAAAAAAATTTTTTTTAATTTTATCGATATTGACCACTTGAAGTTTGGGATAGAATAATGGATTTATCAAATATTATTATTATTATTATTTCCATTCAAAATATATATCTGTTAAATGATATTATATTAGTAAATAAAAGAAAATTAGGATGTAACAGTGTGTGATTATAAAGGATAGAAAAAAAAAAAAAAAATGTTGTTAAAAAAAGTTAATCGAAAGCTTTAAATAATGTATTTTAAATTTATTATTTGTTAATTTTTTGCCTATATGTATATCTTTATGTTGGTTGATTGATAAAGATGAAAATAAAGTTTATCTAAATATATATATATATATATATATAGATATATTAAATAAAATATTATTTTAATAATTATTTATTATTTAAAAATATATTTTTTTGGTATATATTATTATCATGAAAAAATAATAATAATTTTATGAGTAAATATTATTAATTTCTCTGTCGAGCTGGTATATATATATAATTATTTTTCCTTTTTTTTTTTTTATAAAAAAGTACAGTAAGCTTTGTTTAATATTAAAAAAATATATATAATATATATATATTTGTTGCATTTTAAATAAAAACAACCTTTTTTTTTTTTATAAATTTTGCTCAATTATTTTATATAAAAAAAAAAAAAAATTTAGAATAAAACAAAACATTTAAAGTAATAATTTTTTCACTAATAAAGTCAAGTGTCAATAAGTCAAAATATAAAAGCTTAAATAATTTAAAATGCGACTATTAAATAAAATATTTATCATATTTATTAAATTCAATCAGTTAAACCAAATTTCAAAGTTTGATAATAAGAAAATTAAATTACCGTGAATCCGCTTAAAACATAAACATTTATACCAATATTAAAAAAATAAAAATTACATAAGAACTTATACATATAAAAAAAAATGTAAACATTAAAAAAAAGTAAAAGTGCTTTTTTCGTACATTAATTTCTAATTTAAACTTATTTTTTAAATCGCAAGTTTTTTTTTTTTTATGTTAAAAATTAGGAAATAATTTAATGAAAATACCTGAAGTAACAACCTGCGTTTTGAGCATGATGATGAAACATCACGAAGAATAATTTTACGTCAAATTTTTGCTTTTGTAACCGTTTACATATTCATAAGTTGGCACCACTGGTGTTTCTCATCACGATAATATTACAACTGTTATTTTCCGGTATTTAATTTTATCACTCGTTTCTGTTAAATGTTCGTAATTAATATATAAAAGTTATTTTGTGAAAGAATAATATTTTGATAAAAAAATTATTTTTTTAATAGTCTTTATTACTATTTTTATAATTTTAACTAAATTAAATTAATAAAATCTATACATCTGGAATGAATATAACAACTTTTTCAAACGTTGATGATGAGTAAATATTACTCATTTTTATTTTTGTATCATTTTTAAATGACTGTGAGGAGGTAGTAGTACTAATATTGAAGAAATTATTTTAAATAATATTTTTAAGCCAAAATAAATTATTATATTTTTTTATAAATATATATATATATATATATATTAGTATTTATAATTAAATTTTACCTGCTGTACTTTTTAGTAAATATTATAAAATGAAGGCAATAAGGTGTCCTACAGATGAATTAGCACTGACAAATTGTGCTATATGCTCACCAGATGATTTTCCTGCTACAGTTGAGTAAGTAAAAATTTTTTAATTTGCTATTAGTTGTTAGGGAAAAATTATAATTTTATAAATATTATAAATTTAAATTTGAGATTGACATTTAATAGCAAATTTTTTAAAATGATAAATATGCAGCACAAAACTTGGGAATTAAGTAAAACTACATCATTTAATACTTTTTATTTAAGTCAAAAGTGAAATACTAACTCAAACAATTTTTTATTTTTTTTTAGACATATTAAAATATTTAATGGCAGTGAATTTTTTGTATTTTCAATAAAATTTGACAATAGTGTACCATCAGGATCTATAGGATTTAGTGTACCTCAAAGAAGATGGGCTTCTTTATCGATAAATCAAGATATCGAAGCATGCGCTTTTAATTTTGATCTTGAATGTAATTCAGAATTATTATCTAACATTGTTTTAGAAGCTGATTTTTTACAAAAAAAGAGGTAAAATTAAATTTTTATTTTATGTTATTTATTAGTGACGAATAAAAATTTTTGTAATCTGGTTTATCGCTTTTTTTTGTAAATTTAGTATCGTAAAAGATCCATATGATTCAGATCAAATGGCCAAGGAATTTTTGGCCCAATTTTGTGGGCAAGTCTTTACAATTGGTCAACAATTAGCCTTTAGTTTCAATGAAAAAAAACCTTTAGGTGAGTTAATAATATAATTTTATTTTTTAATTTTTATGTCATAAAATATTGAATTTACACATTCTGTAACAAAATTATTGAAATAATTAAAAATATGAAAAACTAGATAAACCTACAAAAGAAGTTCAACTTGATAATCAATTCACGAAAAAAATAAAAAAATTTATAATCATTAATAAATTATATATTGTTCATTTAAAATTAAAATAAAAAAATACATTTTTTGCAGCCTTGGTAGTAAAAGACATGTTTTCAGTAAACATTAATGTAATAGGAGCTGGAGATACACCTAAACCTGAAAAAACAAATTTTGGAAAATTATTAGGGAATACAGTGGTTCAATTTAATAAAGCTGAATTATCAAACCTTAATTTAACTGGAAAAGCTAGAGGGTAAATTTAATATAAAATAAGCTGGATTAATAATCCTTGCTTTCCACATAAATTCTTTTCATTTTAATTTACCTTAAAAATAAATTTTTTTTAGTCAAGCACCACGGCAATCTATAATTAATCCCGATTGGGATTTTCAAAAAATGGGAATAGGTGGTTTGGATACGGAATTCAATGCGATTTTCAGAAGAGCCTTCGCTTCAAGAGTTTATCCACCGGAAACCATCGAAAAATTGGGTCAGTTTTTCAATCTTGTCTCATAGTCATGACTAAGATGTCATAGTTAAATCTGCTTTTGAGAGTTTATTAACGTGAAATTTATTGTTTATCGTATAATTAGGCTGCAAACACGTGAAAGGTATTTTACTTTACGGTCCGCCTGGTACGGGTAAAACGCTGTTGGCCAGACAAATCGGAAAAATGTTAAATGCAAGGGAACCGAAAATCGTCAACGGTCCTCAAATACTGGACAAGTACGTAGGCGAAAGTGAAGCGAACATACGAAGACTTTTCGCCGAAGCAGAAGAAGAAGAGAAAAGAGTGAGTGTGTGTTCTAACTATGAACAACAAATTGTTAATCACAATTATTTAAGTAACCAAATTTTTTTAGCTCGGTCCAAACAGCGGATTGCACATAATAATTTTCGATGAGATCGACGCCATATGTAAAGCAAGAGGATCTGTTGCTGGAGCGGCTGGAGTTCACGACACTGTCGTCAATCAGCTACTACCAAATAGACGAGTAGATCAGTTAATATTCTGGTTATCGGAATGACAAATCGAAAAGATATGATCGACGAGGCTCTTCTTCGACCAGGAAGATTAGAAGTAAGATGATAACGAACAACAAAAACGTCAGATTTTTGTTATATTACAATAAATGTTAAACTATTATACTAGGTTCAAATGGAAATAGGTTTACCGGACGAAAAGGGCAGACTGCAAATTTTAAATATTCACACGAGCAGAATGAGAGAATACAAAAAATTAAACGAAGACGTTGATTTGAAAGAATTGGCAGCCATCACTAAAAACTTTAGTGGTGCAGAATTAGAAGGTACCAAAAAACATTGCATTCTTTTCTTGAATAAATTTCGTAACAATAATAAAATTCTCAATAATTTATTTAATTTTCAGGTTTAGTGAGAGCAGCTCAAAGTACGGCATTAAATCGTTTCATAAAGGCAACAAGTAAAGTAGAGGTGGATCCGAACGCAATAGAAAATTTAAGCGTGAATCGTACTGATTTTATGCATGCTTTGGAAAATGATATTAAACCGGTAAATAAAAAATATTGTTTTCTCCTTTTACGTTTTAATTTTATACTCATTATTATTAAATGATTATTTTAGGCGTTTGGTTTATCCGGTGAACTTTTAGATCATCTTTTGGCTCACGGTATTATAAATTGGGGTAAACCCATCGCTCGAATAATTGATGTCGGACGATTACTTATAGAACAAGCTAAATCGTTGGAAAGTTTATCTGGTATGTTACAATTCGTACATTTCAGTTTTATGCTTTTTCAATATTCAAATATAATAAAATGATAAATTATTTTTAAGGTGTTGTTACCGTTCTTTTGGAAGGACCTCCTAACTCGGGAAAAACTGCTTTAGCTTGTCAATTAGCTAAAATGAGTAATTTTCCATTTATAAAAGTGTGTTCACCCGAGGACATGGTCGGCTTTACGGAGTCTTCTAAATGTTTGCTTATAAAAAAAGTAATTTTTTAATAAGACAAAAGCTCTCTTCATATCAAAGACTTTTTTTTTCAATTTTTTGTTTATTAATTTTTTTTTTTTTTCGTTTAGATTTTCGAAGACGCTTATCGATCAAACCTAAGTTGCGTTTTAGTTGATAATATCGAAAGGCTTTTAGATTACGGTGCTGTCGGACCACGTTATTCCAATATAACATTGCAAGCCTTATTAGTTCTGTTGAAAAAGGAGCCGCCAAAGGGAAGACGACTTATAGTTTTTTGCACGAGCAGCAGAAGGTAAAAAAAAGGAAAAGTTTCTTTAGTTAATGGATGAATGGCAATTTTTTAAAAATTAAAACTTGAAAGTTTTTAATCAATAACAACTTTTAATTGCTCTTACATTAACAAAAGATGTAATCAAAAACTTTTTTTTTTTTTTTTTTAGAAAAGTACTTGAAGATTTAGAATTGCTTTCCACTTTCACGACTACCCTCCACGTACCAAACATAACGGAAATTGATGATTTAGTTACCGTATTAGAAGAAACAAACGTTTTTTCTTCTCCAGATATTAAATCTTTAGTAAAATTATTACAAGGGAAACGGTAATTATATATACATATTCGTCAATTTTGTTTTAAATTTCAAATTAACAGGATTAAACAGGATTAAAAACGTGTTTTTTTTTATTAGGTTATCCATCGGGATAAAAAAATTATTGGCATTAATTGACATGGCACGACAAACAAATCCAAATACGAGAGTTTCTCAATTTGTAACAACACTTGAAGAAGAAGGTTGCCTAGAGGAAAAGGAAGAATTTTTTTTAAACAGGGCTTAATTATTATTATTATTATTATTCTTTATTTATTTAAAAGCATTCAAAACATATCGTATGATAATTTTCTCAGTAAATTATATTTGGACAGGGTTTTTTTTTTTTTATATATATTTTACATTAAGACTCACAAAACAAAAGTAACAGGAAAGTTTTCAAAAAAAAAAATTATTATTATTATTTACACAGGATAAAAAATTTTTTTTTTTTATCATAACGTTAAAATAATATTAATTTTTACAATTGCTTTTTTATACTAAATATTTTATATATATATATATATATATATATATGGAAATTTTTATAAAATAATATTTTGTTTAAAAAAATGAAACCGGTGCCTTTTTTTATTTATTGTTAGTTAAATATTTTCAAGTGCCTTCTATACAAAAATTATTTTAATTAAGTATTATTACCATTTTTTTTTTTTTTTATTAAAAATAAATATATTTTGTTATACTAATGTTAATATATATTTTATAAACTAAAATGTACTTTTTTTATTATTAAATTAATGTTCCCTACGGTTTTTATTATTTTATTTTCATACTAAAATAATAATGTTAATTAAATTTTTATACATATTGTATAAATACATTTTTATTTAATTTTATTATTATTTATGTATTAATACTCAAATTAAAATAAATTAGGTTTAAATATAGGGAAATGTTATAGAATAAATACTGTTTTGTTACAAAAAAAAAAATGGCGCGAAAAACTAAAAAAATAACCGTTAAATTTTTTGTTGTTTTTTTTTTTTCAAATAAGGTTAATTTAACTTTTTATCCAATAAATATAATTTTAAATAATAAAATATAATTAATAATTAAATCAAAATATTTATTCGTAAGAATTTTCTTTGAAAAAAAAAAGAAATAATTAAATTTTCGTCTTTTCATAATCATTGATTAATTTCTGGGAAATTTTCATTTTCTGAACGTGGTCAGCGCACTGCAATGCAGGTGGTAGTTGACACTTTTTGAAATTCAAACGGAACGGGCGAAATTAAAAGTAAAGATTTATTTTTTTTTTTTTCGTACAATTTTTGTCGAGATTAAAAATGGATAATTGAAAATAAATAGATTAATATTTATAAATATAGTTTTTCGATAGTGATTTATTAACAGTTTTGTGAAATATATATATATATAATTTAAAAGTAATTATTAATGTTTTATTTTCAAATCATTTTTATTTGTTTTTAAATTTCGTATTAACAATTATGTGTTCTAAACGAAAAATTTTCAGCCATTTTGAATTATCATTTGACGGTTATTTATTTGTTCTTTATCGTCAAATAAAATATTTTTTTTAATTTTTACTCTAACCTAAACTTGTAAAATATTGATTTCGTTTTTATTATATATTTTATATCTTTCTTTCCTTTTTTTTTTTTTTTTTTTTTTTTAGAAATGAAAGCCACTAAATGTCCAACTGATGAACTTTCACTTACAAACAGAGCCATTTGTAATCCGGCTGATTTTTCTGCTGATGTCAAGTAAGATTAATTATATTTAAATTATTTTTAATGAAAAAAAAATTGAATGTAGCTTTTATTTGTGTGTTTTTCTTTTATCATGAGAAATTTTAAATATTTCAATATTCAAATTTGGTAAAAATTGATAAAGATTATACATTAAAATAATAATCATTAAAAAAAAATGAAAATGAAAATGACACCAAACAATGATGAACGAATAAATTATTTTTGCTAAACGTAAATTTGTTTTTTCAGACACATAGAAGTTAATACTGGAAGCGGACATTTTATTTTCACAATTAAATTAGATGCAAATGTACCTTCAGGATATGTTGGATTTAGTATGCCACAAAGAAAATGGGCTTCGTTGTCACTCAATCAAGATATTGCTGTCAAACCATATTATTTTGATCCAAAATCAGATTCTGAACTTTTATCCAACGTAGTTTTAGAAGCAGATTTCTTACAAAAAAAAAGGCACGAAATTTTATATACATATATTAGAGAATGATGAATAACTTTTTAATAACAAAAAAACAATTTAAATAAATTAATTAATAAATTAATTATTTTTCAGTGCCACAACTGAACCGTATGATACCGATCTTATGGCAAAAGAATTCATCGCTCAATTTTGTGGACTTGCTTTTACAGTTGGACAACAATTAGTTTTTAGTTTCAAAGATAAAAAATTGCTTGGTAAACATTTTTTTATATACATATAAACACGAAAGATTAAGGTTCTCAAATGTAACATTTTGCTTAATTAGAAAAAATTATAAAAGTTTTATAAAAAAATCAAAAAATTACTTATTAATGTATAAAAAATAATTTCGGGGCTTTGTATTTTTTTTTTTATAGGACTTGTGGTAAAAGAACTTTTATCTGTGGATTTGACAGCTTTAAATGCCGGAAAAGAAGCAAAAACAAGGAAAACTAATTTTGGTAAATTATTGGGAAATACTGTTGTACAATTTGAAAAAGTTGAATCATCGTCCCTAAATTTAACTGGAAAAGCTAGAGGGTAATTTTAATGAATTAATAATGCCTAATGAGCTTTATTGAAAATCGATGTTTTTTTTTATAGTAAATTCTATTAATTAATCCTTTTAAAAAAAAATTCTTATAGTCAAGCACCACGGCAATCTATAATTAATCCCGATTGGGATTTTCAAAAAATGGGAATAGGTGGTTTGGATACGGAATTCAATGCGATTTTCAGAAGAGCCTTCGCTTCAAGAGTTTATCCACCGGAAACCATCGAAAAATTGGGTCAGTTTTTCAATCTTGTCTCATAGTCACGACGAAGATGTTATAATTCGAGAGTTTACTGACGTATACTTTATTGTTTATCGTATAATTAGGCTGCAAACACGTGAAAGGTATTTTACTTTACGGTCCGCCTGGTACGGGTAAAACGCTGTTGGCCAGACAAATCGGAAAAATGTTAAATGCAAGAGAACCGAAAATCGTCAACGGACCTCAAATACTGGACAAGTACGTCGGTGAAAGTGAAGCCAACATACGAAGACTTTTCGCCGAAGCAGAAGAAGAAGAGAAAAGAGTGAGTGTGTGTTCTAACTATGAACAACAAATTGTTAATCACAATTATTTAAATAACCAAATTTTTTTAGCTCGGTCCAAACAGCGGATTGCACATAATAATTTTCGATGAAATCGACGCCATATGTAAAGCAAGAGGATCTGTTGCTGGAGCGGCTGGAGTTCACGACACTGTCGTCAATCAGTTACTTACCAAAATAGACGGAGTTGATCAGTTAAATAATATTCTAGTGATTGGAATGACAAATCGAAAAGACATGATCGACGAGGCTCTTCTTCGACCAGGAAGATTAGAAGTAAGATGATAACGAACAACAAAAACGTCAGATTTTTGTTATATTACAATAAATGTTAAACTATTATACTAGGTTCAAATGGAAATAGGTTTACCGGACGAAAAGGGTAGACTGCAAATTTTAAATATTCACACGAGCAGAATGAGAGAACACAAAAAATTAAACGAAGACGTTGATTTGAAAGAACTGGCAGCCATCACTAAAAACTTTAGTGGTGCAGAATTAGAAGGTACCAAAAAACATTGCATTCTTTTCTTGAATAAATTTCGTAACAATAATAAAATTCTCAATAATTTATTTAATTTTCAGGTTTAGTGAGAGCAGCTCAAAGTACGGCATTAAATCGTTTCATAAAGGCAACAAGTAAAGTAGAGGTGGATCCGAATGCAATAGAAAATTTAAGCGTAAATCGTGCTGATTTCTTGCATGCTTTAGAAAATGACATCAAACCGGTGAGCTTTCATTTTATTATTATGATTATTTTGCTAAGGGTCCCTTTTTTTTCTCCAAACTTACGGTTTTTTAAGCTCGGATATAATTTTTATATATTTTTTTTCACTACTGTTATTTTAATAGGGAGTCGTTTTTCAAATAAACCTCAAAAATGGGTATAATCTAAATTTTTTATTTGTTCTTTTTTTTAAAGGCATTTGGACTTTCTGCCGAAATTTTAGATCAACTTTTATTGCATGGAATTATAAATTGGGGTAAACCTGTTGAACATATTTACGAGGTTGGAAAAATATTGATCGACCAGGCAAAATCACCAGACAGTTTATCTGGCAAGTTTTTTTTTTTTTTTTTTAATAAATTTTTTTGGTGATATATTTTTATATTATAAAATGTAACCCCGTTGTGTTATTTAAACCAAAGGTGTTGTGTCTGTACTACTGGAAGGACCACCTAATTCTGGAAAAACAGCTCTTGCTGGTCAATTGGCTAAAATGAGTAATTTTCCATTTATAAAAGTATGCACACCGGAAGATATGGTTGGTTTTACGGAATCTGCAAAATGTCTTTTGATAAGAAAGGTTTGATAAAAGTTTTGAATAATTTTTTTTCATTTCACCTTTTTACAGTCTTTAATTAAATTTTAATTTTATAAAATTATAGATATTTGACGATGCACATAGGTCTACCCTTAGTTGCATATTGGTCGATAACATCGAGCGTTTGTTAGATTATGGTGCTGTTGGTCCGAGATATTCAAATCTAACACTTCAAGCGCTTTTAGTTTTATTAAAAAAAGAACCGCCAAAAGGTCGAAGGCTCATGGTTTTGTGTACGAGTAGCAGAAGGTCAATATCAATCAATAATTTTTTATTTTAATTTTACACGGGAAAGAAAAATTTTTTAATTTAATTTTTTTTTTTTTTTTTTTTTTAGACAAGTTTTAGAAGATTTGGAACTTTTATCCGCTTTTACTTCCATTTTACACGTTCCAAATATATCAGATCCAAAAGATTTTTTAAACGTTTTGGAAGAAACAAACGTTTTTACAAAAAAAGACATACAGAGTATTGCAAAACAAATACACGGGCAAAAGTATGTTTATTTATATAATTATTTACATAAATTATATTTATGTATAATTTCTTGATTCAAATTTTTAATTTTTTTAGAATATTTGTCGGAATAAAAAAATTATTAGCATTAGTTGATATGGCACGACAAACAAATCCACAAATTCGTGTTTCACACTTTTTATCAACTTTGGAAGAAGAAGGTTGTTTATCCGATACGGGGAATCGTTAGGATCAACTAAAAGAGGGCTACCTCAATATTCGTGTCACATTAACAGGTTGGAATACAAATTAATATTTTTAATTCGTTATCAATATTATTACTACTTAATTTATTATTATATCCGTAAACGAATTGCTATTATTTATTAATTCGTTTGTTTTTTTTTTTTTAAAAATAAAACCCGACGAGTAGGAGTAGGATTGTGTTAAATGTTGCTTAGTAAATATTATCATTAATCATATAACTGTTGTTTCATCGTAATTATTATTATTATCGTATACATTTCAATATTAGACATTTAAAAACAGGAATCGAATTAAAATTCCCCCCCCTCTTCTTCTTCTTCTTCCCCTCCCCCTCCCCATCGAGCAAAAACTTTCACTTTTTTCTTCCCGGAGAATAAAAATATATATATATATATTAATAATAATAATAATTTATTTATAAATAAAATAAAAAAATTATGCACAACGTTGTATTGTTTTTAAATAAAATAAATTTTTATTAAAGTGCTAAATAAGTTATTAATTAATTAATTAATTAATTAAAAATATCGTTTTCATAATGTTATTTAAAATTATATATTTATAATATATATATATAATAATTATTATGTTATTAATATAATATAATAAAGCGTATATCGCTTATTGTTTTCGAGGTTATATAATATTTCATTATTAAATATTTTTAATTATAGTTTGCACAAAATTAATAATATTTGTTTAAATAATAAATAAAATTAATTAGAATTTTTGTTGATATTATAATAATAATATATAACGATTGTTACGTATATATATATATAAATTTATATTATTAAAATGTTAAAAAAATTGCTTTGATGCTTTTTAATTAATTATTAATTTATAAAAATTATTATTATGTAGCAATAATTATTAAAAGGAATTAAATAAATATAATAATTTTTTTATTTATTGATTTTATCAATATTGTAGCGTATTATTATTATTATTAATGGTCGATTGAATATAATATTATTTAAATAAATACATAATTTTTTGAAGATTTGAAATAAAAATTATGCACTTTAATAAAAAGGGAAGGGAACTCATTCACGAATCTATCAAATGAAATTTTATTATAAAATAAAAAAATTTTAAATCGTTTTTTTTTTTTAAATTCAAATTAAAAAGTAAAAAAAAATTCTCGCGTGCTTGTACCTGGCATAAAAAAAAAAAAAAAAAAAAAAAAAAAAAAAAACGCCTGTGCTTTGTAATTATTATTTAAAACACGAATAACCAATAATAATTTATTTAAAAAAAAGTTTTTATATTTATTTGGTTATATAAAAAAAAAACATTTTGTTTTATTATTTTAAAAATATATAATATATATTGCAAATATTATAATTATAACAAAAAAAAATTAAAACTTAATAAGTAACAATATTTTGAAAAAAAAAAAAAGAAAAAAATTATTAAATATCAATAATTTTTATATATATATATATTTTTTTTAATATCAAAATCTCTCTCTCTCTCTCTGTCTCTCTCTTTCTAATGTTTTAACAAATCACGATAGTTGAAAAATTTAATTTTATTGTACAAAACTACTTGAAAATTTATAACAAAAAAAAAAAAAAAAAGAATTCAAAATTTCACTTTCACTTTGCACTCATTTTATTATTATTATTATTACTATTAATAATAAATATAAAAAATTCTCTTTAAAAATTGTAAAAAATCATTTTTTTTTTTTTTTTTTTAAATATTTTTCTTTTCTTTAAAAGAATCATCTCGTATGTATTTATTATCATTGTTATTTAGTTTTCCAGAATTTTCATCATATTTTTTTCTCCTGTATGCTTTTACATAGAAATCATTAAAAAGATATAAGAAAAACCAAGCGTTTGGAAAAACGAAAAAAATTGAAAATTTTGGATAATTGCAATCGGTGAAAAGTAATTGAGCATTATGTAAAAAAACAATTAAAAATTGAACCTGAAAAATAAATAAAAATAAATTAGCAAGACGATATTAATTAACGGTATTTAAACGATGATAATAATGATAATATTAACCATTTGTAATACTGTTATGTATTTTTTCCACCATAAATATTTATGAAATTTAGGTCCGAATGCAGAAAGCATATAATATAAATACATAATTATATGTACAAACGAATTAATAACACCTGTAATTATAAATTTATTGATTTATTTATTGATTAATAAATAAACATTTGAAGTGAAATGATATGGGGACAAACCGACAAATGTTGAATGACCACCGGGATAATATTTAACACAACCCCAAGATACCATCGGCATAACAGTATGATGGTACATGTGAAGAAATGATATTTGATTATGTTTTTTTCTCAAAACGAAAAAAACAGTATCGAGTAGTTCTGTTAATTTAGCTATGAAATAAACATAAACTCCTCTTGCTTCTCTCATGGCCGGTTCTGTATATTCAAAAATAACCGGTTGACAACGAAATGAAAAATCATCTCTGAGCCAAAGACCGTCGATGGCCTAAAAAGAATAAATGCATAACGTTCGTTTGTTACCATCTTTATTTTATTTTATTTATAATATATATATATTAATATTAAAAAAATAAACTAACCTCGTACACTAAATAAATGCTAACTAATACTTGTAAAAAATTATATATAATTAATGTTAATTTTAATTCGTATGGTTTTTTATCTTTCATGTATCTCGGACCCCAAGTCGTAACAAAATATAAATAACATGCAATTATAATAAGGCCAGGCATGGGTGATGGAATCAAAAACCAATCGTTTGTTCTTGGATCTTGAAAAAAAAGAAAAAAAAAAAAAAAATTTTCACTTTTCACTTTCTCTTTTTCTTTTTAACACAAACCTTTATATTTTTCTTTTATTTCTTTTGTTTAATTAAAAACTTTTTTTTTTTCTTCAAACAAACATCATCATCAAAATACCTAATTTCTTTTTTTTTTAAAATATATATAAATTGAATAAAATTTATGCAAATAATAATAATAATGATAAACTTACCTGCTAGATCTTTAAATATATAATTATAAAAATTAGATATGGAATTATTATAAATCGAAGTCATTTTTTTTTTTTTTTAAATAAAAAAAGTTTCAATGTTAAACGATGATGACGGTTTTTTTTCTTCTTCTTCCGCTTTTTTTTTTTTTCTTCTCGGTTTTAATTTATTAATTTGTACAGTTATCCATTTATATTACGTTGACCTGGTTCATCTGTTGGTAAAAAGAAGAAAAAAATGTGCATTTTCATCTAGTCAACAAATAAAATAAAAAAAAAATTTATTTTATTTTTTTAATACTCCATAGTTTGCAAAATGAACTTATGTATACTTCCTGTTCATTTTTTTTTTTTTTTTTTCACACACAAATTTACTTAAGGCTAATAGCATAAAGGGGTTAAATAATTTTTTTTCCTCCCCCCCCCCCCCCCCCTTGATTAAATATAATATAATTATATATAAAAAAGAAAAAAGATTTTTTTATTAAACAAAATGTTTTTTTAATTTTTTTTTTTTTTCGGTATGAAATTTATAGTTTACGTAACCGACAACAATAATATTATATTCTATTCAATTATAAATTTCTTTTATTTAATTTACTTAAACATTAAAAAAAAAAGTAAAATTTGTCAAAAATTTTAAAATTCACTTTTCCATTTGTTTAATAATAATAATAATAATAATTTAAAAAAACGTTAAGTTTACTCATATGATATGAGTAATGATAGTTATTTATTTCTTTTTTGAATTTCGATCCGGAAATTATGAGAAACGTTTAATTTTCCGCTAAAATTTCTTTTTTAACAAAAACTTTCCTCACTCGAATGATCCCCTACGTTATTATTTAATTTAAACAATAACAATAATAAAAATATTTTATTCCATATAAAGAAATTCACATATAAAATCACGAATTTTTCAAAAAAAAAAAAAAACAAAAAAAAGCAGTTGGTAGTCCTGTCAAACATTCGATTTACGAATTCAAACTTAGATAACCGTTAAGTAAGAACTTCCTAAAAAACAAGGTTCAAGTTTTTTTTGAGTGAAAGAAAAGAATTCGCCAATTGATTACGTAATTAAAAATAAACTTTCTTTTCAAAATGTCTTCATGTTTTATACAGGAAGGTAAAAAAAATTTAAACTTTATTCTTTAAAAAATTTTATTCCATAATAATTCGATTTTATTAATCGAGATGAATTTTGACTTAAATATGTAAACAAAAGCAGACATTTTGATTTTGCATAAGTAATACAATTTATAAATGGCGCGTGATGTTTAATATTTTTGTAATTAAACTCTTCGATAAAATAAAATTCGATAAAATAATTCAGGTTTTGATAAATAATAAATATGGTTCCTTAAAATATACTTTTTTTTTTTTTTTTGAATATCAACCTCCATTTGCAAATTTTTCCGTTATTTAAATACATTTGCATAAATGATTGCCATGAGATGGTATTGAAAAAAAAAAAAAAAAAATGATTTTGTAATGAATGCTTAAAATTTTTTTTTACTTCCGATGCAATTAGTTTTATAAATAAAAACTTATTAAAATTATTATTTGAAAGTATTTAGTCATTTAATAAAAAATATGAACTTTGTTACCTACATAAGGTAAAGAAAAAAACCGTTTAATAATATAATAAAATTAGCTTACCTTTAATTTATATATCAATTTTTTTTTTTTTTTTTAAATTAAAAATTAAATTAACATTATTATTTTTTTAATTCACAAAAATAAAAATTAAAAATAAAAAACTTTAACAATTTAGCATTATACAAAAAAAAAAAAAAAAAAAAAAAGTTTATGAAAGTGGTACCTTGATGATATGGGGGCCAGTTGTAGTTGTTGCAAACTCAATGCTAAAAATTTTCTTTTTTTTCTTCCTCTTCTTCTTCTTATTCTACTACCACGTTTCGTTTTAATTTTTTATCCCCACCCATAAAATTTTATCTAATATTAAATTGTAAATAATGGAACTTTGGAACATATATATATATATATATATTATAATAATATACTTTATGGAAAATTTTTACATTTTTTTTTTTTTTATAATTGACTTTGTATTTTATTACTGGTTTTGTTGATTTAAAAAAAAAAAAATTATTATATATTCTATAATTTAATGCAAAACTGCTATAACAACAACAACAACAACAACAACAACAACAACTACTCTTTAACATTTGTCAAGGGGATGTGTGTTTTAATATTGCAACAACAACAACAAAAATCCTTTCATTCATTTTCTTCTTTTTTTTTTTTTTTTGGAAAGTGTAAAAAGAATAATTAAAAAGGTTAATGTGTGAAATTAATAAATTAACATCAAGAAATAATGTTGGTTACCTTGTTGGTTAATTTTTTTACCCCCCCCCCCCCCCCCCCAAAATTTTTCACTGTTATTGACCATATTTATTTTGATGGTTTTTTTCTTTTTTTTTTTTTTTTTTTTAATTGAAAAGAAAAAAAAGTGGTTGGAGAACAAACTCATTAGAAACAAAAGTAAACCTTGGACTGTCCAAAAAATGTTGATTGCAGACAAAAAAAAAAAAAATTGACATTTTTCACTTGCCGACATACAAAATCATTCAATATATTATTATTATTATTTCGTATAAGTAATAATACGTAATAAATAATTTTTTTTTTTTTTAAACTAAATAAAATTCATTTCAGCCTTAAGTCATTATTTTTTTTTTTTTTGTATAATAAGATGATGATTTATCATCATTTAATACCGAATAAGAGAGAGAGAGAGAGAGAGAGAGAGAGAGAGAGAGAGAAGATGATGAACAAATCATTAACGATTTGATATCTTTATCATCATATTTAGGTATCATATTAATTTTTTTATCATTTGTATTAATGTCATTATTATAATAACATGATTACTAGTCGGATTTTTTTTTTAAAAAAAAGTAATTGCAATTTAATAATTTAATATTTTCCCTTTCGCAAAAAAAAAAAAAAAAAAAAATTCATTCTGTAATAATCGCACATTTATTAAAAACCGTTAAAAAAAAAAAAGGTATGAATGAATATTTACTACAAACGTAAACAAACGAATAATTTTTATCATCCCCCCATTTTTTTTTTTTTTTTTTATTGCAATGATTTTATCAAGTTCAATAATTATGTTTTTCCAATAATAATAATAATAATAATATTAATTATTTACGTAAAAAAAAAATTTTTTATTGACGTTAGGATTTCCAAAGAACGACGTTTTACGTAATAATAATCATAATAATAATAATTATTATTAATTTTTTATTATTAACATTCAGATTTTTTTTTTTTTTTTAGGTTTTCCAATCGTTCGAGTGCGTGTTTTTAAAACCAAATGTACTCATGGGTACCACCACTACTACTACTACTACTACTACAATTTTTAAAAAAAATGAGAGAAATGAACGTTCTTCCAGACAATATATTCGGTGAGTAAATAAATATTTTGAAAAAAAGATTTATTCGAGCGTAATTTTACAAAAGGTCGGTCTTTGCTTCTTACAAACGGTCACGGTCTTATAAAAATTACTACATTCAATTGTAATAAAATTAATTAATTATTATTATTATTATTATTATTATTATTATTATTATTATTACGTGAGATTTTTCATCAGTCGGACCTAATAATAAAAAAAATGATAAATAAAACCGGTTTTTTATTTGTTTAATTATTCGTTTTTTTTTTTTTTTTAAAAAGGTTTTATTTATCGTTTTTTTTTTTAAAAAATCAAAACAATCGTAAGAATGATTAAGCGTTACGGTTAAAACCACGTTTTTTTTTTTTTTTTACGGGGCCCCATGTGTGTGTTTGTGCGTGTGCGTATGCGTGTGCGTGTACTACACCTTTGATAAAAAAATTTGAAATTGACATCAGGGGTGTGAAATATTTTTTTTTTTTTTTTTTTTTTTTCTTTTCAATCACTCATCGATGCCTGGATTAAAAAAAAAAAAAAAAAAAAAAAAAAAAAATCAATATGTGTGTCAGTCAGTCTTTCTTTATTGCTTTGTTGGTAAAGTTAGACGTTAGGCAAGAGAATTTTAAGGTAGGCGTCCTTGAGCCGTTTTTCATAAGGTAAACATTGATACCTGATACCAATTTCCACACGACCTGGCGAGAGACGAGGAAGGATTTGAAATTATTTTATTTGCAATTGTATTACCGAGTACTATAATCAAATTCGACGACGAACATTTTTTTTTTTCTCCAAATATTATTACATTGTCTATATTTTTATCAAAAAAAAAAAAAAAAGGGGTTACATTTCTATTCTCCTGACACGAAAATTTTTTTTTTACGTCATTAATTTAATTTTTTCGAAATTGCTAACAAAAAAAAAAAAAAATTTAATAAAAATAAGATTTATAAAGAAACAGTATTTCATTTATTATTATTATTATTATTATTATTTACAAACGTAAAAATAGTAATGTCGTAAGGTAGTAGTCCGAATAATAATAATAATAATAATGAAAAAAATAAATTTTCGGGGTTAAATTTCGGGTCAAAATAAAAAAAAATAAATAAATAAATAATTGTTAATAAAGATACAAGGTAATTATAATTAACGTTCGTGTAATAAATTTATAAACCGACTGACTAATTTTCTTTTTTTACAATTATATAATATATATATTTATTTATTACGATGGTGATGTACCATCGTCGGCCATGATTATTAAACAATATTATAAACAAAAAAATTTTTTTATTTATTTTAAATAATTTTTTTTTTTTTTTTTTCATAATTAAAAAAAAATTTCAAAATTTTATAAATAATAATACGAGTAATGCGTAATTCGGTATACTTTATAATTACGTTCTCATTATTATTATTATTATTATTATTAAATTCAATTGATGTAATTAAATTAATTAAATTCATTCAAAACAATTAGCGAAATTTTTATTTTTTAATTGCATAAAATCTCATATTTTATACAAAAAAAAAAGAAATTTTTGTAAATGTTATCATCAAGTTATGAAATTATGACGTTGCGAAATTTTTTTTTATTTTTTAAACAATAACAAAATAATAATAATAATAATAA